TAACAAGTTCAGTTTCTGATTCGGTGTATCTGGGGTAAAAAGGGAAATTCTCAGCAGGGGATCAAACTGGAATGGACCACCAGCTCAAAGCCCTGCTTGCTTTATCTTTGAATGCCTGGAAACTGTAGTAATACTTTCTTTACTCCGGCGCTAAATTGAGCAAGTTTCTGCTCCTTATGTTCAAGAGTGAAGACTGGGACAGTATGTAACTAAAGTTAAAAAAAAAAAAAAAAAGCTGCCTAAAATGGCAGTGGAACAGTATACTTTCAACCCAACAATTCTATATAATGATAAGCTTATATAAAAATTTAAATACTAATATGTACACAGCAGCTTTATCTATAAACAGGGAAAAGTTGGCAACAAGTTCCATATCCAGAAATCTATTAAATAGGGACTAAAACTCTGGTAGCATAGTGGCTAAGGCACTTGACTGCTAACCAGACGGCTGGCGGTTCAAACCCACTAGCCACTCCTCGGAAGGAAGGTTGGGCAATCCTACTTCCGTAATGATACTGCCTCGGAAACCCAAGGAGGGGTCGCTATGAGTCAGGTCTGACTCGACGGCACATAACAACAAACAACAACAACAATGGACCACAGGAACCTCAGCCTACACGACACTGAGACCAGAACTAGATGGTGCCCAGCTACTAACGCCAACCGTTTGGAAAGGCATCAGAATTGGAGATCCTAGATAAAGTGGGGGAGCTCTGGTGGTGTAGTGCCTAAGACATCTGATTGCTAACCAGAAGGCTAGTGGTTCAAACTCACCAGCCACTCCTCGGAAGGAGGGTTGGGCAATCTACTTCTGTAGCGATACCGCTTCAGATACCCAAGGAGGGGTCACTATGAGTAGGATCCGACTCAATGGCAAACACAACAACGAACAACAGATGAAGTGGGAAAAAATATGGAAGAAATTCAAAAACATAAAAAAGCCTAGGATTACTGGTAACACAAAGACTGGTGAAACCCCCGAGACTATGGCCCTGAGTCATCCTTCTGTGGCTCAACTCTCAGCCAAACATACAAGGTAAGGGATGTTACTTTCATGGCCTATGAGCTAAACAACTACACCAAGGAGATGCATTCCTTTGGTCAACTATGACAGATCAGAAGGGCAGCATTTGCACAGGAAGAAAGCTAGGCAGGCAGGAATGCATTGGTAAGAAGGACATAGGGAAGGGGTAACCACAGGGAGGAGGGAGGAGGAAAGCTGTTACATTGTGGAGATTGTAATCAATGTCTTGGAAAAAAAATGTGTATCGCCTGCTGAATGTAAAACAAATGTACTTTGTAAAACTGCACTCAAATCGCAAAAACAAAACACAACAAAATTTGTTAACTAAACCACGAAGAATTCATACATGCAACACTGCAGCCATTAGAAGCTATAGAAAAGGAGAGGTATTCCTTTCCCCTGAACTCATGCTCCCCGACTCGGAACCAAAGAGATTCAGATAGCAAGGGAGACTTGTATTCAATGACATGGAAAGATGGTCATGATATATTAAGTGACAAGGTTATAAAACAGTATATGTATTTTTGTGAAATGTAGCACATTTCCAAATATGTGTATATATGCATAAAAATGATGAGATTTTCAGCACTGTAATGTTCTTGTCTTTTTGTGATTCTTGACTCTGATATTTTGTAACAGTAAAAACTCTCCTAAAAAATTAAATACAGATTTTTCTTCCAGAGATGGCCAAGGTAGGATTTAGAAAAACTAAGTCCCACTCTACTTTAGGACCAAGAGGTACTGTGGTTAAAAAATATTTCATGGTGGAAAGCAGCAAGTAGAATAAATGCTTGGAATCTCTGGGAGAGAGAAAAAAGGTGAATGAGATGACCTAAGATAAAGAAAGGGATCTGAGGGCTTTATACAAGCAGGAGTTCCTACTGCCCAATACTAGCTATGTAAAATACATGTTCCACTCTAGCCAGGCCAGTCTCTTCACTATCTTCCCCTTTAGTTAAAATATTCATTTATGTTTCCGTTATGCTGGTCACTCTAATCTCCCAGGTGCTGATTGTTCTCCATCATTCCCTCTATTTAAACCACAATTCAAGGGTCAGTTCCTTCAGATAGCAGCCTCTTGACTATTTTAGTCACAGTGATTTCTTCCTTTCTTAAAAAAGGTACATTTTCAAAATCCAGATTTTTACTTAACAGAAATACTCAAAATCTTTATATTTGTAGTCATCGCACTAGAGTGACTGATAGGTGGGTCCAGAACATTAAAACAGGTACTTCCTCAGGAATAAAATTACATAAGATCAAAATGTAATCAATGCGTATGGTGTCTTCTGGTAAAACGGCAATGGCTGTAAAGATCCCTGAACACTCATTTTCACTAAGGTACCTTGAATATAAACTTGGGAAGCAAAAAGAGAAAGTGACAGTAAAAATGCAGAAATCAAAAAATTTGTGTGCTACTCAGTCTAAAGACAGACTTCATTAATAAGAAAGGGTATAGTTAATGAGGCCGACAGTGTAGACTGGCTCATTCACCACGCATCCCCAACCATGTCAGTCACTTTTTCCTTGGATTCCTCTACATTAAAAGCTGGAAAGCAAAATATTCCCACCTCCCAGTCTGCTTGAAGTTAGGAGTGACTAGTAACATTTTGGCCAAGGAGATACAAGCAGAAACTTGTGGGAAGGGCTTTTCTCCCTACTTTGCTCTTCTAGCAGCCTGGAACATGGACATAATGCTGGAGGTACAGCAGAAGTTTTGCAATCACAAGAATAAAAGCAATTATGACAAGGAGGAGTCTAGGACTTTGATGATATTGGTAGCACACAGTCCTAGTCTGCATATGTCCAGACTATCAGTTATGTAAGAAAAATAACCCCTTATATGTGAAATTCACTATATGGTGGGTTTTTTTGTTCCTTGAAGCTGAAGGCATTCCTGATAAGAGTTAGCATGAAGACTGGAACACTGGTGCTCAAGTACCTTTCTTCCCAATGTATGAGGGACAGAACATATTCCCCACATTAATAGTTACTCACTATAACTGTGACTGTCAACCTGACAGGTATCAGATGGTGGGATGGGGGCAAAGAAGACAGTGGCCCTGAACTTTGGTAACTATCAAAGTAATGTCTTCCCATAAGCACATGTCTGAGAATCTACTCAGTCTGGTTTCTCCATAAGTAAAGCAAGAATTTGTGTTCTAATGCTAAATAAACAAAGTAACCTTCCACCCAAGTGGCTTCTTCCTTTCAATTTGATATTCTCTTAAATAGTTACTAAGAAACTAATTACTTAAATAACTCCGAATAAGCTTCTCATAGGAGCTCTGGTAGCATAGTGGCTAAGGCACTTGACTGCTAACCAGAAGGCTGGTGGTTCAAACCCACCAGCCACTCCTCGGAAGGAAGGTTGGGCAATCCTACTTCCGTAGTAATACTGCCTCAGAAACCCAAGGAGGGGTTGCTATGAGTCAGGGCTGACTCGACGGCACATAACAACAACAACAACAAGCTTCTCATATTCCAATAATCATTCCATGAAAGAATCAGGGAATTGATCCCACAGCAACAACAAACCAACTGTGTTTTGAAGGGATATATATTTACAAATATTCTATTATTGTATTTATCATGGTTATAAAAACCTTGGTACTCTGGAATCTAAGTTATGTATAGTTGCCCACAATAGCTTTTCCCCATTAAGAGGTAATTTATATTTTACATTATTAATTATTCTCTTTCCATGCATTTTACAGGACTGTTTGTTTATTATAGTTTCTTACTGATTCCCTGCGTTTGGCTAATAATACAGGCCATCTTCAAGTAGGCACATTCCCACAATTTATCCACAAAAGAGTAATTATATTCCATTTTTAAAGCATCCACTTACACCCTGTTTTAATTTACTATAGTACAAAATTTGGATAAAAAACTTCCAGGACAGAATCACTGGATATCTGAAGAAATAAAAGGAAATAGATAATGCTTGTATACAATCAATTTAGCTGTTCCCTTCCAAAATTAATAAGTGAAAGGATAAAATAAATGTGGATGAAAGACATACGGCACTAAAAAAAGACCCAGTTCTCTAAACAATTAACAAATCAATACAAATCACTGTAGCTAAACATCCAAGGTAAGGGATGTTGCTCTCATTTTGGCGAACTGTTTATTTTTAAATGGCAATCTAATTCTAAGACCAGAATCTTCTAAGAAATTCTAAGATAACTAATTCTCCTAAAGCAGGGGAAATACTGTTACTCAATCTATCAAAAGCTACAGAAAAAAAATCATCATTAAATTAAATGATGTAAGAGAAAAAGCTCCCTCCACAACTGGCTGTAATAATTTGGTAACTTACCTTTTTGCATAGTTTACCCTCAAGTCCAAAAAGAGTAATTACTCTTTTAAACAAATCTTCCCTTCATTGAGCTGGTTGAGAAAGTCAATTCAACTGTCAATAAAGTAAAGCCTTTCACCTAATGTCCTAAGGGTTCAGCCAAGTTCACTCTTCTGAGACCATAGACTGAAAAGGTTGACCCTCATCAAGTTCCTCACCAAGTGTCTGCCAAAAGCATCAGTATGTGGGTCAGGGCAAATCATACTCAGTAGCAGAGAAACACCTCAATTTGGTAGGCCCTACTGAGGATGATTCCTATTCAAAAGATGGCAGATAAAGAATAACTGTGGCACTGCTCATTTGAAAAATTAAAATACACATTTAATAGCTATAGAATATCATCAGTCAGGTTTTTAAAAAATTGCATTAGTAGTTTCTTTGAGAAAAAAATTACTGTTTAGTTAACTTAGATTTATAAAAGAGAAAGGTATGGGCTTACATCTTCCTTAAACAATAGGTATTTTAGAAGATTTTCAAATATAAGAGATGTGTAGGTGTACCTCTTAAAATATGGTAGAAACAAATTTAAAATTTCTTCAGCCTAAATTAATAAACACAGTTTTATTACTAGAAACTAAACAAACTCAAAAGAATGTAAATTAAAAGCAACATTACCATACTTGGTGCCTCCAAGTTTAGGTATATTGAAGAACTTATGTGAACTGTCATTTAATGTTTCAATAAGGTACTCAAAGGCGCATCCTGGAAAAAAAAAAACAGAGGAAAAAAACTTTCATTTAATACAGCTATGAAGTATTGTATTCAAAGTGATAATACCTCCAAACCAGCTTTGTCTGACAGAATTGTCTGCAATGATGGAATGTTCTGTATCTGTGCTGTCCAATAAGGTAGCCATTAGCCACCTGTGTCTACTGAGCACTTCGAATGTGGCTAGATTTAAAAATTGTGTTTATCCTAACTACTTAAATTTAAATGCCCACATGTGGCTAGTGGCTACCATACTGCACCATATAGCTCTAAGGTAACCCTCTCTCTCCTGAAATGCAGTAACAAAAAATAGCTCGAAAGGAACAAGAATGACTTAAATGATGTACAGGCATGTTTTGGAAAGGCATGTTCTGAAAGCTGCATAAATATACAGAGAACAATTTGAGAATTAATATTTTGGAGAGATTAAAGAGAGAACGAGCGAGCAATCAAAGACGAAACCAAATCAAAAGCAAAAACAAAACAAAGCAAAAATCCCCTCAGGTATGAACTTAGATCATCTTATGACCGAAAATAAAAGTGAACAACATCTGAGTAAATTGGGCAATCTCCAAAAAAAACTCACATCTCTTGGTCCTGCACGAACTGAAGCTGAACTACAAAGTCGGTGGCAAAAACCTAGGGTTCTCATTTGAATGTGCCCAGCTCCTAATGTTCTCAGGGGGCGGGGGGAGGTGGCAGGGAAGCAGCACTGAGATAAAGAAGCTTCACATCCTTTGTGTAGAATCACTGTGATAGGTGGGCAGGACCCTCAGCATTGGTAGGGACTTAGTCTGAGATGAGAAAAGATAAGCACAGCCCACTTTCAGAATGTAAAGTTTTTTTTTTTTTTTTTTTGTGAGGGGGATATGAAGAACAAGGGGAGGAGGCCCAGCGCAGCAACCCACAACTGGGAATTGGCTCATTTGTGTTTGGCCTTGACCGCTCCTCAATCTGCATCTGGAGACAGAGAGAGGAGGGGCTCAAGGCTGGACAGCGGAATAAACAATTAGCTGCAAGGAGATACTGGCCTCCATCCTCAATGCTCACAGACTGGGAGTGGGGAGGAGATGGTGGACCTCCCCCGACGCGGTGCTACTGAGGGGCGACAGGATCCGCTAGTCGCCGCCACCAGCGGCTGCTGGCTGAGGGCGCGGGTCAAGGCGAGCAGCGGTGCGGACGGCCCTGATGGAGTCTTAGTTGGGAGCTAAGGCTGCAAGGCCGCCTCGGCGCAGAAAGTGCGGCCCAGCCGGCAGGCCCTGAGGGAAGCACGACCCTGAGGGCCCCGGGCGCCGGCAGAGCAACTCGAAGGGAGAAAAGCACAGAACACGATGGTGAGGCAGCGCGCGTCTCCAGGTTCCAGACCCTAGTCCGCGGCCCGAAACTAACCTCCACTTGGGGCGTCCATCGCCGGAGACCATATTATCCCGGGGAGAGGGCCGTGGGGGAAGGAGGGGAGGCCGGGCGGGGAAAAAGGGGAGGAAGGCCGGCGGACTGGCAAGGAAGGAAGGAAGGAAAGAGGATCGTGCAAACACCGCGAGAGCTGCAGCGCCGGCCCGGAGTCTGCGCTCGCGGGATTTGCTGCCCAGATCCCGCGATATTTTAGGACGTGGAAACAAAGAAAGAGTATGAGGCGGAGCTAGCCAGAAGGGGGTTGCGTGCGCAATCGCTGCTATGCCATGGAGTGGAGGTGCAGCTCCAGCTGGCTGTGTCATTGGTGTCAGTGGCTTGGCCTTCATAGTCATCTGTTACTTAGTCGTGACCTCAGATTGTCCGATTGAAGTTCTGAGGTCTAGTGGTGTGTGGCACCTGTTGAGGTCTTGCGGGCGTGGGGGGAGGGGAGGAAGTGCGGTCACGGAATTGGAACTCTAGGAAAAATAGCTTAAAGACGACTGCTTTTCCCTGATGATAAAACCTTACGTGACCCTATTATATGTGTGTAACCCGTACGCACGCTCTCAGGAGAGACTGATAAGACACGTAGCGAGCGCTCTACTAATTGTTGAGTGGATTAATTTTCCCTTACACTCCTCCAGCTTCAGTCTTTCCCGTTCTTCTGACTTCTTTCCAACACGACTCAATCATGCTTAAGTCTCTCCCATTCCTCAGCCTCAGGTCCTCAAGTGTGTTCTCCTTCACCTGGCACCTTATCTCCCTGTTTACAACCTACTTTCTGGAAAGAGTTGCTTGCATTTTCCCTTTCCCTCCCACTTTTCTCTCCAAGGGAGTTCTGGGGGCTAGTGCCTAAGGCATTTGACTGCTAACCCGGAGCCTGGCAGTTCAAACCCACCTCTGAAGGAAGGCTGGGCAATCTACTTCCGTTGTGATACAGCCTCGGAAACTCAAGAGGGGTCTCTATGAGGCGGATCTGACTTCACAGCAGTGAGTTTTTATCTCCAAGTTTAGCCATAACTCCCCTAGCTAATCTCATGTTTCTCAATCTTTTTTTTTTTTT